GGGGGGGGGGGGGGGGGGGGGGGGGGGGGGGGGGGGGGGGTCTCGCGGCCAGGTGGGATGGCTTTGGAAACGAGGCGCAGATTGGCCTAATCCACCCCGCAGCGTTGTCGTGAAAATGAAATGAGACGACCTTGCGTGTCTCGCTTCGCCACCCTCCCAGTCGGCACTCGTTGCCGAAAAGGGGAGGGGAACCCAAAGAAAGCCCATGGAAAAGCTTCCTGCTTTATCACTGTCATCAGTCCCTTGGACTCTATAAACACTCAAGCTATTTCTTACTGATATTTCTTCATTTGCTACTTTGGAGAAGTTCTGATTTAATAGATTGTATTTTGCATGTAATTTCCTGTTGGGAGCCTTTGGGCTATAAATGGTCTATTTTTAAAAATGTCATCTTGGAAGGGTTGGTTTGACAAAACAATGGAATTGCTTATAATTTTAATAGCTTGTGCAGTTTTTAGATTTTATGTTTCCACCTTCACAATTCTTAAATTTTCAATTCTTGACTGTAAACTCTCCTGAGATCTTGATTTGTTGGGCATTATATGAACAGTGTAAGTAAAAATAATTATTATGGAATAATACCTATGCAAATTATTGAAGCTGTGTGACTGAATTTCAAGGATACTTCCCCTTTTATGTTGAGTTCCCTTCCTTCCTCCCCTGCAACCCCCCTGGTGTAACTAATTTCCTCTGTTAAACTGGGAGGGGGAGAACATAAGATAAATTTTTTAAAACACACACAATTAGCACACCCAGTCTCCTTCCCCGTTCCATACAGACACGTAGACACACATTTCCCTTTGGTGGGCACCCTCGCTACTTAGGACGGCATTGTTGCTTTCATAGAATCATGCAGATGGAAAGGTCCCAGAAGGCCATCTAGTCCAACTGCCTGCTCAATGCAGGACTCAAGTCTCCCATCCAGATTCTAACTAGACCAAACCTGCTTGGCTTACAGGATTAGGCAGGATCAGACATTTGAGGCTATATGGAAGCTGCTTAAGGTTGCAATTGTATTTCTACTTACCTAGGAGTAAATTCTATTGAACTCAATAGGACTTGCTTCTGAGAAGACCTAGGTGTGGACTGTCTTGTAAATGAATCTATATTTAAGTAGGCAGTGCACACAGATAACCTAACCATATTATCATACAGAGGAAATCTTCAAATCTTCATATTTGCAGTATATGAACATTAGAGGCAAATGTTATAATCACAAATGTTAAAAAAGAGAAAGAATCCCTCCAATCAAACTATTGCTCTGAGACACAACCAAAAATAACCCCCTCTGAAAATAACTTGAATATATCTGAGACCCATAATTAATGTGTTAGAGAGCTACAGATGACTATTAATTCTGTTAGTGAAATCTCCTTAAAGTAACCATGGATAAACCTTGCTACAAGACTACTTTTACCTATTTTACTTTCCCGGTTGTTTAAGTTGCTTTTACGTGCTGTCAAGTTGTATCCAACTTATGGTGATCCTATGTATGAAAGGTCTCCAAAATGTCTCTCCATGTTAGCCTGGATCACCTTAAGGGATACCCATTAACAGAACTATGTAATGCACGTCTGCTCAGGGATATGTCTCCAACTGCACTTACTCCCAGGTAAGTTGATGTAGGATTGCAACCTTAATTTATAATAAGCTAGTTCAAGCAAGCAAGCAAGCAAATAGGTGGAATAAGGGCCTCTTTTCCAAATGGAAATGGACCATGCATGGCATGTGGTTTTCTTCTTCTGTTTAGGAATTTTGGCTCTTGGCACCCTCCCCATCGAAGCAGACCAAAGGGTTAGTACAAATGCCAGTAAAACCCCTGCCTGATATATTATGGGTTAACTGGGTTCAGTGACCTTTGGACAAGTGAAACAAAAAACAAAACAAACCCCTTACAAAATGGTGCTGAAGCAGCCGGGTCAAGTGCTAAAACAGCAGCATAGTTCAGTGGGAAGAAGAGCAAACAATGTTTGCATTAAGTTGGACGGTTGCAGATTCAGGCAGAGAACTGGTGCTTTATGAGTTAACACACCTGGTCCTGAGTAGTGTGGTTCTTCCTCATCTTACAGTGTGGGGTGATGCAAAGGACTGGGCAGCCCTTTGTAAACGCCCCAGGGCAGCTGTATTCAAGAGTGAGGGGGCTTTCCAGACACCTGGCAAGTTTTCTGCATCACCTCAATGGTGTGGTGAAAAGGGTGGCAGAGAGGGGCTTGGGAAAACGTGCTTTATGGCATGGCTAGAGGCTTCAGGTGACTGTCCTTCCAGAAGCTGCTGTCTTGCTGTGATGTGTTTTTAGCCACAGGACAAATGGATAATGAGCAGGACCAGCAAATGGCCACCAAATATGGAAGGAGTCAAAGCAAAGCAAGACATTAACCCAGGGATGTCGCTGTGCAATTTGCTTGGTGCTAATACAGCACAGTGTCACATCTCGTTACTGGAATGCCCCATGTATTTGCAAATGGTTAGTCCCCTGAGATGCTAGTTAAGCAATTATGAATTCAGAATGAAGGGCACCATGCTATGCACATTTAGGCAGGCTAAAGTTCTGCTTGTCCATGCTGCTGGGGCATGCTGGGAGCTGCGGGACTTCGGTCTGTGTCAGCATGCCTGGGATTCTGCCCTAAGATACTCAGTGGCAGAGGGTGAGGGTTTCTAGCTCCGTGCCATGGCCCATGTTTTGCATGCTGAAGATCCCAAATGAAATGCCTGGCATTTCCAGCCAGGCCATGTCACATGCCAGGGCCAGAGGACTTGGGTGCCTGCATTTTGTTAAATATTTCTGTTTTATTTAAAACACTTCTATTCTGACTTTCTGGCAATAGATTAAATCAAGTTTATTTATCAAAACAAGTAAAACAAAAATCACAAAGCAATAATGCTGCAGCAAACTCTTAAGCAATCTATAAAAACATTATTTTAAAAGCTAGATTGAAGAGATGTCTTGACCCCATTCCTGAATGGAGAGAGCCCTGAAGTATTTCCAGCAGGAAAGAATTTTCCCTAGAGGGCATTGCTGAATAGAAAAAAAAAATCAACCAGCAGGCAAAGGGTTAAGCAACCCCTCATTTTCCAAACTTCCAGAGATCATAGTTATTTGGATCTGCCTTGAGTTCATCACTGGCTGCATGCTGGTGTTCAGGCAGCACTGAAATGGATGCTAGATTTAAGGGGTTTTGTTTTGCTTTGTTTTTTGAGGGGGGAGGAATGACAAGGTACACAAACATTACATTTGATTTGGCAAGCTGATACCGAACAAGACTGCCTTAAATTCAGTGAGACCTAAATTTAAGCGTTGCTGTTTATGACGCATCCCTCAGATAAGGAATTTAGTGCTAAAATCTGGAACTTTTCAATATCCACTATCTGAAAGATTGCTGAACGTTTGTTTTCAACCTGAGGCTCAGGCAGACTTTGAACCACCAATGGAAATATTGTCTGTGTGCACACTGGAGCAAATCTCATTGCCAGTCGTGATAGCAGTGGGGGCTTCTCCCGCTTTAAACGCCTCCTTCTGTGCAAGGTGCCCTGTGCGCTTTTCGGTGTCCCTCTTGCATCATGCCCGTGGGAACAAACAGTCAATGTTAAAGTACTTCTCCATTCCTTCCCCTTTACATGTCAATGCAAGTGTAGTGGCTCTAGCTTTACAAGTCAGGTGGACAAGTGATAAAAAGACACAATTTTCTCCATGTCAGTCTTCTTTGATTTAAAGCCCCTGCTGCTTTCCAGGGATTCTCCACATGAGGGATTGATAACACTGAATATTAAGAAAAAATCCCAAGATGCTTCTGTATACATATTAAGATAACAGTTAAAATCACATTTAAAATATAATAATACAGAGAAGCAGAGCAGCAATAAAATGGAACAACATAATTAATATAATGACAGACAAGGGAAAGTCTGGTAAATGGGTGGGTTTTCAGAAGGTGTTTGAAAGATGCCACATTTTCAGCTTCCTGATCTTCAAGAAGGATTTTTTTTCAACTGGGTGGGTGCCACTACTAGAAAGACCTGCTATTGAGGTATTACATAATTGCATTCTGGTAATTTTGGAATGATCAGGAAGACCTCTCCCAATGATTTTAATGGCTGGCTGAGTGTACATAAGGGAAGGCAGTCTGCTAGATATTCAGCTCCAAAGTTGTTTAATGTTTTGTGTGACAGTAACATAACATTGACCTTGACTTGTTGGCTAACAGCCAGTGCATCTGGAGGTCAGTGTGAAAATCAGTACAATGCATCTGGGTGCCCCAGCTACGCATTAGTTGCTGCTTCTGAATCAAGCCTAAGAGCTGCCCCATATAGAGAGCATCACAGAATCTAATTGTGAGGTTAACTGTGCATGGATCACTGTGATTGGATTATCCCTCTCCAGGAATGGGTGCATTTGGGTTCTGGTGAAAGTCAGTAGTGGGCACTCCGGGCAGCCAAGCACCTAGGCCTGCAGTGACAAAGACAGATCCAAGATCACCCATAGATGACTTACCTGCTCCCTCAGGGGGAGCACAACCCTATCCAGAACAGGCAATGGGCTCTATTTCCAGGCCTGGGAATGGCCAACCTATGGGAATTCTACCCTGTTGTGATTCAGCTTCAGTCTATTAGACCTATTAATTTGTTACTGTTACAAAGCCATCAGGTGACAAAAGCTCTTGCTGGCCTTCTGCAAATCAC